AATTAATAATATAGGATAGCCGATGACCTTGCAACATAAAAAATTAAAGTTGCAATCCCTTTTATTTTTATATCAAAAGCAATGTAATAATAAAAATAAATGGCTATCCTATGAATTAAAAGATATCGATCTCTTGGAAGGTTTGTATTTCTATTCTTCACCCTTTGTTTTTATCTTCTAATTTGTCTTTAAGTTATCTTTTTATAATATAGAACATTAATTAAGATAGAACATATATTTGTAATCTATATATTATATTATTTATGTTCATATATTTATCTTTCCATAATATCAATCATATATTCTCTCCATTAATATTATCTTTGTTTTTCATTATAGTTTAGGTTTTTACAGATAATAATATTACATTTTATAGCTTGGCAATGAAGTTTACATGAGGTAGAAAATATTCATGGCAATATATTTCTTTTATCTTAATATCTTATATGCCAGGTTTTATAATTAAGAAATACAAATAAGAAAAACCTGGCATTAATCCTAACCACCTAGCCGATGGCCCATTGACATATGAAATTAAAGTCAATGTCATGATTATAGAAACAATAAGAAGTAACCATTAATTTTATAGAGATTTCATCATTAAAATTAATGGTAAGAAGAGAATTATAATGATGAGTGAACAAATTCCTCCCTACAAAGCTTCTCAGCTCATCCAGCACCATAGCACTCAGGTCATAAGACAAAGGGAACCAAACCGCAGGTTGCTAACAATAGACATCACAAACAGACAGATCAACATGATCCTGGATATATATATATATAATCGAATCCCAAACTTACACTCCAGGATTTGAACAAACATTGAAAACCCTGAAGATCTTCCGCCAACGTTTGCGGCAAGTAGGGATTCACCAACTTCATGTCACGACAATGCAACCTAAAGGCAACATAAAATCTCGCAATGTGGGACACCATTATGTTGCAATCAGCACATCCCTCCAACGACAGAGCCCAAGAATGCAGTTTGTCCAGGGATGAAAAAACTGAAATCACCATGCAAGTTGGCCTTCAACAGCCAGTCGGGTGCTAAACTCTCGGAGGCCTCACTAAAATGATGTGACACCGGTTCAAAGTGTTTGTCAACCAGCTCCTGAGCGCTGCTGCATTCATTGAAATCAAATGCAGGAACCCTTGAGCTGAAACATCAACTACAGCAAGGTGCAGCCTGGAAAGGCTCCTCACTAGCGTTTCCATTTGTCTCCACTCTGCCGAAAAACGGTTCCAGATCTGCATGAACCAGCTCTGTCTTGATTCGTTTGCCGCACAAGTGTCACCATCCACTAAATTGTTGTCTGTCAAAGCCCACTCGACCAGTGGATCTGTAGCAGAACTTGGGTCCTCATATGAAGAAACCTTGTGAACCCTCAAATCACATTTCAGGGTTTGCAGACAGTCCCAAATCCAGATATCAGAGTTGTCCATTCCGGCCGAAAAGGTAGTCAAGACCGGCCCAAACATGGAGTTCACCCACAAAAGTGTCACCAGCCCATCGAAGAACCTGCAGGAGCGCCCAACTCTCAGCACGGTTTATCATTTGTCTCAGACCAGGGAGCCATCCGCTGAAGATGAGGCATCCATGCTCAGCACTCCTCGGCGCCCATGAAGCAAAGGGGAGCACGGACCATCCTGTGTGCAGGAGCCATTTGTGAACACATTCAAGATACTGGGAGGGGACATCAATCTGTGGACGAACTTCAACATCATGCAACCGATGAAGCGCCCTCCATGCATCCAGTCTCGAAGCAACTTGCGAAGGCAAACCATGGACAGCCAAAGCTTTGGGAAAGGTGTCCCAGAGAGTAATCAAATTAGGAAAAGCACAGCAGCATCAACCTCCCCACAAACCACACACCTAGCCAAAACTTTGGGGTCAAATTTGGAGAGGTGAAAACCATCGAAAAAAGGATCCATCTCGAACAACGCAAAGCAGCTCTTTCAGGCCATGATCAAGTCCCTGGTCAGCTGCTGTCGAGAGGTCAGCCTCACGGCCACCCAGATCTTCAAAGCCTTTACGGTCTCGCAGTTCAGCCGTCCGGAACTTCCTCCAGCAGTGCAATGCCAGATCCTTGACCAG